ACTGGAGACTTGGGGAAAGGAAAGAGAGTCCAGCTGACTTAACTAGCCTGCTCACTTAGACTATATTAGTAGGCTAGGCACCACATATTTTAATAGCAAAATTACTTTTAAATTATGGGTTTAGGGAGCAAAATTACATAGAAAAATATCTGCAAATATTTTTTATTCAGACTTCTTATATGCAAACGAATGCAAAAACCGGAGCAATTGAGCTTAGTGTTTAAAAATGAAATGAGCTAAAGTCCCGAGGGAAATGGAAGCCAAAGTCCTTTACTTCCACAATGGCTTCCTTTAATTAATTAATTAATTAATTAATTACCTAACTAGCAATATTTATATATTGCCTCTCAGGACCCTTTACACCACGTACAATGGGCAAAACCTTTTAAGACATAGGTAAAGGTTGTCCCTTGACATTAAGTCCAGTCATGTCTGACTCTGGGGGTTGGTTCTCACCTCCATTTCTAAGCCAAAGAGCCTGTGTTGTTCGTAAACACCTCCAAGGTCATGTGGCCAGCATGACTGCATGGAGTGCCATTACCTTCCTGCTGGAGCGGTTCCTATTGATCTACTGACATTTGCATGTTTTCCGACTGCTAGGTTGGCAGAAGCTGGGACTAACAGCGGGAGCTCACGCCACTCCCCGGAATCGAACCTGTGACCTTTCAGTCAACAAGCTCAGCAGTTCAGCGCTTTAACCCACTGCGCCACCGGGGACTCCTTTTAAGACATACACAGATTAAAATTTTGAAAACAAACTAAAATTCTCCTTAAAAACAAATGGGAGCCCCCGGTGGCACAGTGGGTTAAACCCCTGTGCCGACAGGACTAAAGACCTACAGGTCACAGGTTCGAATCCGGGGAGAGCGCGGATGAGCTCCCTCTATCAGCTCCAGCTCCTCATGTGGAGACATGAGAGAAGCCTCCCACAAGGATGGTAAAAATATCAAAACATCTGGGTGCCCCCTGGGTAACGTCCTTGCAGATGGCCAATTCTCTCACACCAGAAGCAACCTGCAGTTTCTCAAGTCGCTTCTGACACGACAAAAGGACAAACAAAAAACAAATGAAAACTGAACTGGTAAATCAACCAGACAGTTTGAAGCACCAAAAGCCGTGCAGACCAACACCCATGCTGTTTAGTCAGTGGAGTAGTTCACATTCTGAGTTGTGGGTGTGCTCAAAACTGAATATTCTCTATGGGTGCGGGGAGGTAGAAACTTCCTACTTTGGAATAAAAGCATATCCATTAAAAGCCTTGGACACCAGCCCTTCTGCCTGCATTTAAGGGCCAAATGATAAGTAATAAAAGAGATCCACACATCTTGCTCTACTCGGGATAACGCACTGCTTTACTATTAAGGCTGCATTCACTTGGAGCTAAGAATCAGCCTGTCTCTTGAATGAATTTACATTATATATTTCACTTCATGTATAAGTTGAGGGAAACTTTTTGAGTCCAAAATTATGGATGTTGAAATGATCCGTGGATAAGTCAAGATTCAATTTAAGAGCATGTAAAAAAGGATGTAAAGGACAATACAAAGGAAAACGATGCCAAAGAATTTACAAAATTCCATCTGAATGGATGAGGATGGGACCACAGTATAAATGCTGGCTGTGCAATGTATTAGGGAACCAACCAGTAAAGGGAGTCATTCAAGCCAGGAGAGTTCACCATTGGACAAAAGTGCAAGTGCCATCTCAGGGGGCCGGGCACCCCATTTTCCTACTCAGACACTACTCGCCAGATGGGTTATAGCAGCAGAGAGAGTATAGGGACGTCAGTACTTCTTTTAGGTTCTCCCAGGATGGAATAAGTTCTCACCTTTTGCCACTCTACACAAAGAAGGGAATTGTTCCTTTTTTTTTCTTTTTCTTTTTTTTTTGGTAAGAGTTAAGATGGAATATTTCCACCAGCACGTGTAGTCAGCCCAGGATTTTGGGCTCAATTTTGGGACTAAAATTTCTAGACTTATACAAAATTACAAATAGTATCTGCAAGGCACATGTCCTTGTAAATTAACCACTGGAATTTATGAGTCTGTATGTACGTTTAACACAGTGGTTCCCAACCTGTGGTCCGTGGAACACCAATGTTGCGCAAAAACAAAAATATGGTCCACGGCATCACCATTACTACACTGTTGCCTTGAAACTACGTGGCAAGAAGAGTGACTGGTCTCACAAAAGCCTCTTATAGTGCAGAGACAATGAGGATTTTTGGGAAGGGAGAGGCTGACTACCCACCAAAGATTATTACTACCACATCAGCTCTAGATTATTAAATGTGGTTTTCTGTGGGCGAGCAGATGGCGACTACAGGATGGCATACTGTATGTTCTATATCAGAAACTAGAGCTGATGTTGTCTATCGCGGAGATTAAGCTCCTCCGGGGAGGCCCTGCTTTCTGTCCCACCATTGTCACAGGCACGATTGGTGGGGACGAGAGACAGGGCCTTCTCGGTGATTGCCCCCCGGCTATGGAACTCCCTTCCTGGTGAGATCAGGTTGGCCCCCTCCCTCCTGTCCTTTAGAAGGATGGTAAAAACTTGGCTGTGGGACCAAGCTTTCGGGACAGGGCAATAAAGCGGCAATAAGAAAGATGACCAGGCCAATTAGATTTTACGCGAATGACTAGGACGGTTTTAAATGGTGTATTTTAATATTTTGATAAATGTTTTTTAATGTTTATGTATCGTACGTGAATTTGTGCCCCGGCATTGAATGTTTGCCGTATATATGCTGTGCTCCACCCTGAGTTCCCTTCGGGGTGAGAAGCGCAGAATATAAATGTTTTAAATAATAAATAAATAAATAATACCCAATGCAATTTTTTGAAACAGCATCCCCAATTAGATTTGATCAACTAAATCTAGAGTTGACCAAAAATTGATTCATAACCTTTTTCGTACTAATGTTGGAGACTTGTCCCTGGTCAAGTGGTTCCTGGTCAAAAAAAAAAAAAAAGGTCGGGAACCACTGATTTAATACATCCAATGCCAGATTTCTGCCAATCAGAAGATGGAAAGGCAAACAACCCAAAGCTAGACTATATTATTACAGATCAGGCTCCATCTAGTCCTGGGAATCAGTTGATTTCAGACAGCCTAGCCATGCTATATGAGTCAGAATGATAGAGTATTAGAAAATGACTCTGGAGACCAGAGTTCAAATACCTGTTTGGCCATGGAAACCCACTGGGCGACCATGGACAAATCACACTCTCACAGGCAGAAGTGAACATTTTCTTAAGCAAATCTTGCCAAGAAAAACCAGCAATAGGTTAAGCTTTAGATTACCAGAAGTCAGAAATGGCTTGAAGGCACACAACAATAGAAAAAAATCCACAGTTCTGCAAATCAAATTCCCTTATAGCTCACCAACAACAAACCAGGTTTAGAAAAGCTACAGAAGCCAATAAAATATTTCCTCTGAAAAAGGAGGCAGGAGGATACCCTAAAGGCTGACAAGTAATAAATTTTTAAAAGCTGTTAAATTCTTTAGCAGCTGAATTTGCTTTGGGAAGCTTGTAGCAAACCTGTGGAATTTGCCGTATATATCAAAGAATTCAGCAGGTTTGTGTGGGTCAAAGAGGGTGACAGCAAACAAGACTAAAAACAAAGGACAAAACATTTGAGAACATGGCCATATAGCCCGAAAAACCTACAACAACCCAAAGGACAAAACAGTCAGGTCATTAAAACTATCCACATTAACTCTGCTAAAGACCTGTGGTAAAGACACGGGCCTAGTAGAGCAAATCTCTGGCACCAGGCATGTAGCCGGGGGGGGGGGGGGGGGGGCTTGAGGGGCTTCCGCCCCCCCCCCCGAAATTCTCATGGTGGTTCGCGAAAAGGCCTTACTGGTGCATTATTTAAACTGTTATGTTTATTCATATCATGATCTGATCACCATACTCAATATATCCCATATGCATGGGGGTATTGGGGTAATGATACAAAGGGTTTGCTAGGCTAGACCCTCTTTCACTCAGACTCAGCCCCCCCCCCCGAAACTCAGCCCCCCCCCGAAACCCCCCCTGAAAAAAAATTCAGCCCCCCCCGAAACGAAATCCTGGCTACGGGCCTGTCTGGCACCTTCAAGTACAGCTGGGAAAGACTAGATTTCTGGAGAGTATCTGGCTGTCGGTATTGACAATACTTGGCTAGATAGACCAAAGTTCTGATTTGGTACAAGTCAGCTTCCTACATTTAGTATGTAATATTTATGGATATATATTCTGCCATTATCTATGATAGAAATCAAGGCATCACTTAAGTCAAAGATATCCAACTTGTGGCCCTCTAGATGTTTGGACCTCCAACTCCAGAAGCCCTAACAAGCTTGTCCAATGGCCAAGAATTCTGGGAGATGATATTCAAAACATCTGGAGGGCCACAAGTTTGGCATCACTGACAAGTGACAAGTGGTCCATCATCCAAGTATTGACCAGAATGAAACCTGCTCATCTTCTCCAAGATTACTGTAAATGCCTCCAAGACAATGCCTTGGAATATTATGAAACACAGACTTGCTCCACAAATCAAGAAAGACAATTACAGTGTTCTCTCACTTATTGTGGGGATTCCGTTCCAGGACCACCTGCAATAAGTGAAAATCCGCAAAGTTGGGACGCTATATTAATTTTAATATTTATACATTTTATATATTATTTTCTTACCCACACTTCCTTACCCACCTCCCGGCCCATCCCGAGAGCACCTGCCTGCCTCCCTGGCCTCCACAGACCTCAGCAGAGCCTCCAGAGCAACGCATGCCACAGAAGGTCAGGGAGGCAGGCCTTCCCCGCCATGCCTCAGGCCACCACACTTCTAGGGTCTGTGGAGGCCAGGGAGGGAGGCCTTCCCTGCCACACCTCAGGCTACCGCTCCCTGGACTCCATTAGGCATAAATATTTTATATTAATACTTTCAAAAACCCACGAAACAGTGAGTCCGCGTGAAGCGAACTGTGAAAAGGCAAAGGAACACTGTACCTTCACGTTGGAATGAACCGCTGACTCTGGGGGGTAGACAATGAAGTGCCGGAGGGTGAAACCGTAACCCCCCTGTGAGTTCTTGTGCAGCACCACTGTTTTCGGCCCCACCCAGGGAAAAGACTCCGCAGGTGGGGCATTGGCGTTTGTGGCCGTACCATCTCTCTGGCCCAGCTTTGGCTGTTGAGACACACAAAAAAAGAGAAGGAAAATGTTAGTTTCAGATGGAATTTGAAGCAGAATGAAAATCCCCTTCCCCATCACTCTCACACACATACTACAGGACACTGCATTTTGGAAATGCAAAGTGGATACAATTAGTTGAATAAACCTATCTTATCTACTGGGGGTGGACGAGGCAGAGAGTGGCTCAGTGTTATAGAATCCTGGGAGTTGTTGCATGAGAACATGCAAAAAAAAATTGGTTTATTTACTTATTGTGTCAGGAGCGAACCAAATAGTTGTATTGTATTTTTAAAAACACATACACACCAAGTTTGCAAACTTGCCCTTCTATTGAATGTCCTTTGACCAGTAGCTGGCCACTTGGAGTGCCTCTGGTGTTGCTATAAGAAGGTCCTCCATTGTGCATGTAGCAGGGCTCAGGTTGCATTGTAATAGATGGCCTGTGATTTGCTCTTCTCCACACTCACGTGTTGTGGATTTCACTTTGTAGCCCCATTTCTTAAGGTTGGCTCTGAATGTCGTGGTGCCAGAGCGCAGTCTGTTCAGCGTCTTCCAAGTCGCCCAGTTTTTTGTGTGCCTAGGAGGGAGTCTCTCATTTGGTATCAGCCATTGGTTGAGGTTCTGGGTTTTTAGCTTGCCACTTTTGGACTCTCGTTTGCTGAGGTGTTCCAGCGAGTGTCTCTGTAGTTCTTAGATAAACCCTAAAAATACTTGGCATTATACTAAATGTCCTTTGACCAGAATCTGGCCACCTGGAATGCCTCTGGTATCGCTGTAAGCAGGGCCTCCATTGTACATGTGGCAGGGCTCAGACTGCATTGCAGTAAGTGGTCTGTGGCTTGCTCTTCTCCACACTCACATGTCATTGACTCCACTTTGAGACTGCATTTCTGAACATTGGCTCTGCACCTCGTGGTGACAGAGCGCAGTCTGTTCAGCGCCTTCCAAGTCACACAGTTTTTTGTGTACCCAGGGGGGAGTCTCTCATTTGGTATCAGCCATTAACTCAGGTTCTGGGTTTTACCCTGCCACTTTTGGACTCTCGCTTGCTGAGGTGTTCCAGTGAGTGTCTCTGTAGATCTTAGAAAAATATTTCTTGATTAAAGTTGTTGGCGTGCTGACTGATATCCAAACAAGGGATGGGCCGGAGATGCCATTGCCTTGGTGCTTTCACTATTGGTTGCTACTTCCCTGTGGATGTAATTTCTCCAGTGGTGTAGGGCGCAGACACACAGCATGGTTCATTAAGAAAAAATGGTAAAAGTTTGTTTTAAGTCACTTGTTTTTTCCAAATATTCCAACATGGCAGCATTCATAGTTACCATATCATATTAATCCCCATAATCACCATGTTAATTTAAGTTCTAATTCCTGTAGGATGGAAAGAAATTGCAAGAAATCTGTGCTTGAAGGTTGTTTTGTAAACCTCAGAAGTCTCCCTTCCCCACTATTCCTGGAACAAAGCCCCAGCAGACTGTGGTGAGAGGATGCCATGGAATGGGAGGAATGAAGGAAGAGATATGATGCCTTAGGGGGTATGAAGAGATTTTTTTTAAAACCGGGGGGAAACAGTGTCCAAATGGAGATTCTTTTCCAACATCTCCATCACAACATAACTTTGTAAAAACAAAGAGCTCTATTACCAGTTAATCCATACAGTAGGAAGAAGCAAAGGAGACTTCCATGGTGTGCACTCTTTCCAAGTAAACTATGTTTCTAGATCTTAGGGTAAAAGTCTTCCTACCAGGAGATACAAGACGTTGATATAGCAAGTCCACGTAAGAGTTCCCCCTATAACCACATTCCACTGGTAAACCATAGGCATGCAATGTTCAAGTCCAACGTGTAATCTAAAGGCTCACCATCTCGCTCCCGGCCCTGACTCCCATGGGATGCCCGAGGTTTGCAACATGACACTCTATACTTTAGAAGGGAATTATGCACCTCTTCGTCTCGCCAGCTCGAAACCAGATGGCTCTCAATTGCTTTGAGCCTTGCAATGAACTACAGTGCGGCAAAGAAGACCTCAAAATATGATGTAGTTGCGGCTAGCAGATTGTTTGTGCGAAAACAATCAAAGACGGGCACCAAGAAAAAATGGATTCTGTGATCAGCATAATATTTATGTACTCACAATCCTTACACACTGCTTTATAACAAATTCTCAAAGCAACTGGCTAGAAACAGAACTAGATGGCTTATATGCATGTCTAAGTGAAATTGTTTATGGATTTTTCACATGTATCGTTTCCAGACTAAGACAAAATGACAGATTCAAGGTGCATCTACACTGTAGAATTAATGCAGTTTGGCACCACTTTAACTTCCATGGCTCAATGCTACAGAATCATGGGATTTGTAGTTTTACAAGGTTCTTACCCTCCTTTGTCAGAGTACTAGTGCTTCACCAAACTACCAATAGCATTGAGCCATGGTCATTAAAGTGGCGTCAAACTGCATTAATTCTACAGTGCAGATGCCTCCTCTGCCATCTGATACTTTGAGTTAGTCTTTTCTTTGGCAATGCAGCAAACAACGACCCTTCCTTGAAACACACGTACCTCCAGCCCATTCTAGAAGCAATAAAAGTAAGTGTATCCACAATAATTAGCTTATCTAGCAGATCTTATTTGTTAGAGAGAGTGAAGCCTGAAAATTATTATTATTGTTATTATTATTATTATTATTATTATTATTATTATTATTATTATTAACTTTATTTGTACCCTGCTAGCATCTCCCGAAGGACTCAATGCGGCTTACATAGGCCAAGGCCTCAATAAAACATAGCATAACAAATACACAACTTAAAGCAAATCAAAACAATTAAAGCAATATCAAACAACAAAGCAATAAAACAATACAAAACACAATAAAACTAGGGCCGGACCAAATGTAATGGGTACAGGTTAAAAGTGCTGATGTGACAGGTGGTATATTGGATTTAGGGTAAGTGCAGTGTGCGGGCAATCTTAAACTCTAATAAAGTGCTTCTGGGACATGTTACTGGAGTTTTCCTATTCTGGAAAGGCACATCGGAACAGCCAGGTCTTCAAGTTCTTCTAAAGACTGCCAACGTAGGGGCCTGTCTGATATCTTTGGGGAAGGAGTTCCAGAGTCGGGGGGCTACCACAGAAAAGGCCCTGTCTCGCATCCCCACCAGACGCGCCTGTGACACAGGTGGAATCGCGAGCAGGGCCTCTCCGGATGAGCGAAGAGAGCGCGTGGGTTCATAAACAGAAAATTCCTGTTCAGCACATGATTCCAAATTTGGAAACTCATCGAAAAGCATCCTCATATGTTAGAGTCTCATTTCATAGTCTCACTTCATAGCCTGGAGCCCCCAGTGGCGCAGTGCCGGGAGGAGGACTGGTGACCGAGAGATCAGTGGTTCGAATCTGGTGAGCAGGGTGAGCTCCCATCTGTCAGCTCTAGCTTCTCATGTGGGAACATGAGAGAAGCCTCCCACAGAATGGTAAAACGTTCCCTGGGCAACATCCTTGCAAACAGCCAATTCTCTCACACCAGAAGCAACTTGCAGTTTCTCAAGTCGTTCCTGACAAACAAAAATATTTCATAGTCTTAAGGGCTAGAAAACTGCCTCCTTCTTCTTTATAGAAAACCTGAAATATTCAGGATACTGAATGGAAAAATGTAATACCTGGGTTTTAAAATAAAATGTATATCCCACCTTCCAATCTAGCTTCAATTGTGATCATAAGATCATGCAATTTCTACAACTCAACTTATAAAGAATGACAATACTGCACTCTCAAGAGTTTAAGAGACTAGTTATCTGATTCTTATCTCCTCACGGATTGTAATATTTTGTGAACAGATGTTCTAGCTGAAATTATTATTATCATAATTTCAAACACAAGATGAGTCCACAGCAAATAAAATCACTCTGCTAGCTGTTGTATTGGATCACATGTCAGACACTTCGCAAGTGTCTAGAACTGTGTGATGTATCAGCAATTATTATTATTATTACTCATGGATCAAGGCAGTTAAAACTATATAGTAAATTACTATCAGTTAAGAACACAAAACACATAAGCTAGTTAAAAGAAAACATACAAGCAAGACAAATCAAAACAACTGTGCATAACTTAAAACTCAATACTGTTTAAATTCTGTAATTTCCAAAACACAGATTGAAAACAAAAATTAAGATGATTTTTGGAGACATAATGGTCCAACCTTTTCATGAATGTTTTCTACAACTCCGACGATTTCTGTTGAATGCTCCTGAAGAAAGCCTTTCCCCATTTAGGCTAAAATGTGGTGGACTTCTTAAAATAGCATCATTTAGCATGTGGAGCTCACCTCCTTCTTGTTTCCTGCTTATATATGTAATTTTCAGGACACCCTCTATTAACTATAGATTGTAAAGATGTCAGCAGAAGAATGCTAAGCAATGGCATAGCTTCAGTGGGGAAAATTAATCATTTTAACCCAGAACAAGAAGAGGAAACTGTGAGGACACAGGATGCAGACGTAAGAGAGACTTCATGCAGGAACAGAGTCATGGCTTGTTGGGAAATAAGAGCCAAGGCGACAAGGGGGAAAGATGACCATAAGGGGTTGTGATGGTAGTAAAGACGTAGGTGCTGAATATTGATATATTGAATTAACCCAGCCATGTTTTTTGCTAGCTAGTCATATGGTGTGAGAAGAATGATGACGAACCTGACACAATTTTTTTGAACAGAATTCAAACTAAGCCAGCGTTTCTCAACCTGGGGGTCGGGACTCCTGGAGGGGTGGTGAGGGGAGTGTCACAGACCATCAGAAAATGCGGTATGTTCATGAGAGTTCTCTGTGGGAAGTGTGGCCCAATTCTATCATAGGTGGGGTTCAGAATGTTCTTTGATTGTTGGTGAACTATACATCCCAGCAACTACAAGTCCCAAATGTATTTATTTATTTATTTAGAACCTTTATATCCCGTTCTTCTCTACCTCTGTGGAGGGACTCAGAACGGCTAAAAG